CGCTGAGTGACCTTAGCCTTAAAGTGGTTATCTGCACAATCTCAACATATCGCAGTTTCATGTTGGTCAATGAAGAGGAACTGAAGGTGAGACATAATCCGTACAACTCTCAAAGATGTGCATTCAAGTTAAGACTTCTAGGAAAATGCAGGGTATGATACTAGAAGGCTGGGAATCTAAAGATTATAGAAATTGAAAATCTGGACAGGAACTTTTGGTGGAGAACTTGGATATCTTCAGTCGATAAACTTTTTCTTCTATATAATATTTCTCATGCTTTTGAGGACATTTAAGCACAAGGAGTCATTAGGGGCAACACTTAAACCTGGTTAAGACACTAATAGAGCGATAGGTACGTAATAGAGCTTTTTACTAGTTTTGGCGATTCGAGCAATGTAGTTATTGTTTCGGCATTCACCTCTTCCACCTGATTAGATAGGAGCATTCATTCCTTCATTCACGCATCTACTCGTCGATGACATCCCTGAGTGCAATGTATTTCGGTGACATGTTTTCCCTGTCCTTCTTTATTAGTCCAGTCGGTTTGGTTCTTCGATCATTCTCCTCATGCGCACTTTGTCTTTCCAAATGATCACATCCCCACTTTTTCTCCCTCCATCTTCTTTGCACTCTTTACCTAACCCTGCTTCTATCCATTCTCGATGCAACTTCTCGTCATCACCTCATCATTCTACCTATCTACCTACTCTGCATATACGTATAAACTATTATTTTGCTCAAAGGAACATTACTTTTTTCTTTGCGTTAAACGTGTCCCATGTATCTCAAACATTGGAATGCACGGTTTACTGCCATTTTCCACTCCTTGTTTATCACTCCCCTCTGCTACCTCCTTTACTGCTAACCCCCCAACCCTTGTTCATGGCCCAAGGACGCATCTGCAAAATAGACATCGCAGTGCCTCATGTACTCCACGAAGAATACGGCTTCCCTACTGTGATCGCTAGAAGTGAGAGATGCAGCATGATATAAGGTGAAGTGGATTAGAAAGAGATGAGGTGAGACGGCTTTTACTTTAGGTCAAACAGGAAGTGCGATTCATTGAGAGCCTTGAACTATAACTGACGGAATATTTGTGGAGTTGCGAGTAGGCTAGAATTCTGCTTCTTCCTCTGCTTTCAATTTCACTTACGACTATGCCAATAAATATGCTCACAATTCGGCTTCTGGCTTGTCAGATCTACAGATTA